GCCTCTCCTCCCGTATTCCTGCCACCCAACCATTTCCATCCAACTTCCTTTCCTTTTATCTTCTTTAGAGAAACACTTCATTAATATGCCTTTTAACATGTCCCTTAGAAGCAAAAAATGTCATGGAAATGTCCCACCACTGCTGTTTTTGCAAGCCTGATGAAATTCATGACATCGGTCTGACTCTGCACTAGGATAGCTCTCCTTCTTCTGACATCGCAGTCCAAAGGTAACTCTCACCACTTCCTCCCTCCATTGTGTTCCAAAGAAACCACCCAAGTGGGATCAACCCTTTTCAGTCTTTAAGTTTCAAAAGCTTAGATGTCTCCATCTTTGAAGATAAATGAGAAGCAGGATTAAAATAAAGAACCAAAATCCTCATACCTGGTGAAATGCCTGTGGCTCCCACTCAACTGGAACCTCCCAAAACTCCAGAGGAGATGAAGAAAAATCTTTTGTATGATGTCCTTTCCCTCATCAGAAGCCCAATCTCCTCACAGAGTGTGGGCATGAAAACACATGACAAACAAATCCAAACCCAAGATGTTTGCCAGAGTATGCACACACTTTCCTAGCCCAGTGGTTCTCAACTTTTGGGTGGTGACCCACCCTGGTGTCACATATCAGATATTTACATTATAATTAATAACAGTAGGAAAATTACAGTTATGATGTATCAACAAAATAATTTTATGGTTGGGAGTCACCATAACATGAGGAACTGTATTAAAGGGTCAAGGCATTAGGAAGTTTGAGAACCATTGTTCTAGCCAAAGTTAACTCAGCCTAGAAAATCCAATTTGAGCCGGGTGTTGCCTTTAATCCCAGCCCTCGGGAGGCAGAGACAGGTGGATCGATGTGAGTTCGATGCCAGCCTGGTCTCCAGAACGAGTGCCAGGATAGGTTCCAAAGCTACACAGAGAAATCCTGTCTTGAAAAACCAAAAAAAAAAAAATCCAATTTGATGGGGGAGTATTAGGGTTTGGAGGTGAAGTGTCCCCCTGAGACACTCATATGTTGAAGGCTTCGTCCCCAGTGTAGTGTTCCCAGGGGACACTTTGGGAAAGCGTCACATGAAGCATCATGAGGGCTCTGACCTTATCAGTGGATTAACATGTGGCACTGGTACAATGCCTTTGAAGAATGTATCTTGTTACCCTCTGTCTCTCTCTCTGTCTCTGTGTCTGCCTCTCTGTCTCTCTCTCCCTCCCTGCACTGAGGTAAGCATCTTCCTCCACCATGCCCTTCTGTCGTGATGTTCTGCCTTAACGTAAGTGCCCAATAATGCAGCTAGCTGACCATGCACTAAATTTCTGAAGTTTAAATTTGAATTTTGTGAGCCAGAATAAATGTTTGCTCCTTTAAGATGTTTTCCTCAGCTCTTTTGTCACAGCAAAAAAAAAAAAAAAAAAAAAAAAAAAAAAAAAAAAACTAACACAGGAAAAGACAACTTGCAGCGGTCAATGCCTTCTCAGCTGGCCTAGGTCAGGTGATTGACATAGTAGCTGGACCAGCATGCTAGAGTCATGCTGATATGCCCTGCTATTCCAGGGGCAGCACTTGATGCCTGGGAACAGAGGCACTGCCTATGTTCTCAAGTCAACTCTCCTGACCTCCTACTACTCTACCTGGCTAACAAGATACCTCTGACTCCTCCCAAGATGCCACAGGCCATCACCCACGATTGCCCCAATCTCATCTGCCCTGTGCACCCTTGTTGCTGCCATTCTGAACCAAGCTCCTTGCAGTTCTCTGATGGATTGGGATAATCCCTCTGGCCTTGACTGAGATGTGGGGAAAACTGGACATCCACATGTAAAAGAGTTCTAGATGATCTGATGCCCTCTTTTGACCTTTTGACCTCCACAGGCACCTGCATGCACCTGGTACATGTATATAAACTCAGAACCACACATGTATACTGAAACTAACAAGTAAAATAAATATTTAGAAGCAGCCAATAGGTACTTGAAGAGGTACTTAGCACCACAAATCAGCAGGAAAATGCAAATCAAAACCACAATGAAGTATCACCTCCCTTACAATGGCCATTATCAAAATGACAAGAGACAAAAGGTGACTAAGGCCTGAGCAAAGGGACTCTGCCCAGTGGAGGTCTTTCTGCTTCTAAACAAATGCCAGGATCTTTCCTAAACTGTTTTCTGTCTGCTCTACATTATCTTCTTCACTTAGTTGCACCCCCACGCCCCGGCCAATACAAATCCTAATTATCCTTAAGGCATTCACTTAGCATCACTTCTGCAGGAAAACCATTCTGCCCTCAGCAAGGTCAGTGCCCTACTTCTTCCATCATCTGCTGACCACTGGCTAATTGCCTCCCTGCTGTTTCCACGAGTATGGTGTCTAGTCTGACCACCCCATAATTGCAGTGGCAGCAGCCAGCCCAACATCTGGCACACAGCTGATAGGGCTTCCTACAGACTTGCTGAGGGGGTGGATAAACCTGACACCTCTGGACTGAGGTACATAGCCATCAGCAAGATGCACTCCGCAGTGGGGAGGAAACGTGAAAACAAACAGAAACTGCAGAACAGTGCACAAGGTACAAATTTGCACAAGGACAAATTTGCCAGAAATGTGTTCCCAGAGGAAATGGTGTTTAAGTGGGACAGGGGGATGTGGGACTTCGAGCCACGCCTGCTACCAGAAGGGTGCTGGGGAAGGGGTGATCTGCCAAAGTCTCATTGAGATGAATGTATCTGACATGCTCATTGCTGGACTCCAGCATCCAACTCAATGTTTTAGCCATTTGTTAACTAAATGAATGAAGCCAGAGGTTAAAGGATGGCCTGAGATAACAGAAAGTCTTCAGTATTGGCATCTGAAAGGTTTGATGAGGACAAGGAATTTAGAGTCCTATAAAGCAGGCACTTAATGCTTTAATCCCTGGAGAACAAGTATGCTATTTACTTGTATGCTGTAAGGGCTCAGGCTGTGGTTGTTAAATTGTTTTTATTGTCACTGACAAGTGTTCACTTTGGGAACTTAAAAATATCCTTAAACAGAAAGCAAACGAATCTTTTAATGTGAGACCTCACCCTGGCAGACAGACTGTTTCTAGAACACTCACACTAATTATGGAAATTGTCAGGCACCGACAACCGGAAGTATGGAGCAGGCATTGTTTCTGGTTTTATAAAAAGAGGAAAACAAGAATGTGCCTGTAGTCACTCCAGACAGTCAGCACAGAGAGGTGAGAGGCAGGTGGCTCTAGGACAAGCTGGACCAGTTGAGATGTCACAAGCCATGCATAATGACACAAAGGTACATTTAAAGGCAGTGCAATGGCTCACCCAGTGAAAGAGCTTGCCATGCAAACCTGAGAACTTAGTTCAATCCCTAGAACTGGTTGTGGAAAGTTGTCCTTTGAGCTCCACATATTGGACCCACAGAACCTTTACCGGGTAAGATAGAGGCTGGATCCAGAGTTAGTGAGGTCAGGCGGTACATAGAAGCCCACAGCAGGATCAGCCCCCTTTTCCTAAGCTTGAGCCTCCCAGAGAAGCCAGCACTGGTTTCACAGCTGAGTGAACATGCCCCAAAGACAAATTCAAAAGCCCTTGAGTCCTGCATTGTCTAGCTCTCAGCTCCAGCTTTTAAGTTGTAAGCAGGATTTGGCAGGAGGCAATGATAAGGCTTTGAATGGCTCACTAAAGCAGTGTTGCCTGTGAGCACTCTCCTGGTGTGCTTGCTCACAAGCTGTCTTGTTGCAGGGCTCTGTTGTCAGAATGCAGGTGCTAAGAGCTGTGGACATAAGACACTGCTTAAGTACTCAGAACAGTCCTTGGCTTGTGTTAGCCATGAGATGTGGCATCCTGTCCTCCTTCCTGCATTCATCCCACAGGTAGCCAGGAGAGGCCTCTAGCCCCAGGAAGCATCTGGGCCACTCTCCTACCCTCCCCCTCACCCATCTCAGGCAGTAGGTACTGTGGAGTCAGCTTCCTTTCAGGTCTTGACCAAGGAGCTGCACAGCTACTGCTGGCTCTGGCTACATGTGCCAACAGCCAAGGCCTCCTACTGGGCTCTGAGTCTGTCTCACCCTTCCCTCTCCCCACAGCCCCTTCCACCATGGATCTGGCCACACTACTCTGCTTCTGTGCCCCTGAAGCATCCTGATCTTTTGGGTTGAAGCCTTCTAGGTTCAGTGAGCAGCCCCTTGCCTTCCTCCTCACCCTCCTCATGCATCTTCCTCACTCATGTGGTTCATTCCTGCTCTCTCTTGGTGCCAGGCTTTCTCAGTTACTATCAGAGATGCTGCTGTATCTGGAGGCCTTCTCAGTTGCCTCATCCTATCTCTAGGACATCTTCTCTCCCAGACTCCATCACCACTATCTAACCCTCACTCTTGGGGATGCTCAGAGGCCTCACCTTCTAGGAAACCTTCCTTGGGCTAACCCCACTCTATACTAACCTGGATGAACATGATTCTTTGCCAAGCCCACTCAGCAAGTATGTTGTTGAGCCGGGATTCTAATCCACTCCTTCCTGCTCCTTATATAGCAATGAAAATTGGAAGGTTCCACAATTATTTAGGAAATAAGATAAACTCAAGATTGTGGTAGAGTTAGTGAATATCTTGAAAAGATACCTCCCCAAAAATGTGTAAAATGAAAGCAGCCAGCTTCAGAACCTCATGCATGGCATGATCCTAAGAAAATAACACAACCACAACTAACTGAATATTCAGGAAAGATGCACATATGGGTTTTAAAGTAGGGAGTAAAGCCTGTACAAATGCAAAATCATCTGTCAACAGCAGTCAGTGGGCAATGGACTTGAACATCCTGTAAGGTTTGAGTTTGCTATGTGGTATTTATGTTCTAAGAAAGTGAAAGGCATCTACAACTTTTCTTCATGAATATGTAAAACACTTGAGCCATCAGGAATCGTCACCTTAGAAATTAGATTTCTAAGGATTCCTTGTGACCTGGTAACAGTGAGATGAAAGCAGCCATGGCTGTCCAGAAAGCTACACTTACCTTTCCCAGGAGCTCAGGCAAGCCCAGAAGCTGCCCAACAAACACGCCAATGCAGATGAAGATGGCTGTCACCTGGCCCAGTGAGCCTCGGATCTCCTTGGGTGCGATCTCATTGAGGTACATGGGTAGTGCACTGAGCGCAATACCTGGGGAAAAGACACAGCAGTGAGAGAGGCCCTGGCTCGCATGTGGTCACATGATGAGCACTTACAGACGCTGATGTGTCTCCTGCCAAGACCATGGGAGAGCACACGTCAGCTCACAGCCATGATAAAGATGGCTGTTATGGGGAAGAAGCAATAGGGGCCATGGCCATGAGTGTGTGTGTGGTATTTTGAATAGGCTCTAGTATTTGCACACTTGCTCCCCAGTAGGTGGTGCTCTTTGGGAAGGTTTAGGTGGTGTAGCCTTACTGGAGGAAGTACACCACTGGGGGGCAGGCATTGAGATTTCATAGCCTTGTCCTACTTCCAATTTGTCCTCTATTCTCTCTCAGCTTCCTGTCCCTGCTGCCATTCCTCATCACCATGATAGACTCTTTTTCCTTCTTGAACCATGAGCTGTGATAAACTCCTTTCATAAGTCACTGTTGGTCATGGTATTTTTTTTTTCACAGCAACAGAAAAGTAACTAATACAGTGTAGTGTTAACTTCTCTAGCTCACCAGTACAGTAAGGGTGAGAGCAGACAGGAGGGACAGGTAAGGGCGCATCCACTCTGTGTTATGAGCACGTTTGTGCTTTGTATTATGAAAGGGAACTGCATATACTCGGCATGCACACACTGCTATTTGTTCTTAATTGACCTTTTACTTAGAGAACAGAAGATGCAGTGGCCTTGTGAATATGTGACCTCTACTAAAGAGAAGGCCATTGTAAGGGGCCGTTTCCTGCATTATAATGGTGCCTGAAGACACCAAGATGTAAATTACTTCACAGGCGCTGGGTAATCTCCATTCCTTTGATCTCTGCCTATCCCGTGGCTCATTTTGGCCTGAGGAGCTAAAGCCATTCATAGGGTAACAGGTCCCAGGCGGCTGGTCAGCCTTTATAAGGGATGGTTTTCTTGGGTCACTGTCTCTGCTCAGTCTCCGCTCTGGGAAGCTTATGCTCTTTCACTCTCAAGATGCATTAAAGCTTGTCTGCAGAAGGATCCGAGTGTCCTGTGTATGATTTCTTGCTGGCGAGAAATACAGAGAGCGCGCGGGACAGGCCATGATGAACAGAAAGTGCAAGGGGCCACAGGAGGGACACATGGACACTGTGAATCTCAGAGACAAGGCTGATCCCTACCAGTGGGGCAAGGCTGAACTGTGAATGACTGAATGACTGCCTTCACTTTGATTCTTTATAAAAATATGATAGCTGGAGATGGCCCAGAGAAGGTAGACAGTGGGGTGGTAGCCACCTGTATTACCAGATTGTCATCTCTCTTGATGAAATATAGCTTAAAGATTTAATTCCCAAATCTGCTCACTGGTGTTTCTAGTTGAGGGTAGCAGGAACCACTATATTCTGCATATGAGGACAGCAGAGGTATCACCATTACGGAGGTGGGAACACAAACTGAATATATATATATATATATATATATATATATATATATATATGTATTGACTGTGGCTAAGCCAGTGGTGAAGGAGGAGGTAAGCCATATGATAAGCCTGTGTTTGGGTCTCTGATGTATCCTAGCTTACCTGGTACCATCTATCCAGGATGGTTGGTCCTCATTAAGCATCCCCACTCCTAAGCAGCCTTGTTCAGCTTCTGGCCCTATTCCCTGCTATCCATGCTCACTTGACATGTGAGACTCAGGGCTCAGTGAGTGCTCTAGGCCCATTGTGTCTTAGAAGTCTGACTTTGGTTCTTCTGTTTGTTTCAAACCTATCCTCAGAGATCATAGGCTGATTGCCACATATGCTTCCTGTTTCAGTTCAGCACCACCTCCTACAGTAGGAGGTGGAGTTGTGTCTTCTAAACATGTTCAGTCTCCATCCTCAATTACCCATGGGTCTACATTATCTGGCAATAGGGTCTTTACCAATATCATTATTTCCAGACAAGGTGATAATGGATGGTATGTTGTTAAAAACATTACTTTAAACTCATAAATTATTTCTGGAACTTTCCATATTTTTAGTAACAGAAACCATGGAGCTTCAGCTTGTAGCTGTCATGGCTTATGTCCTGGGAAACTCCTACTGTGGCCAATGGGTAACTGTGCCACAGGGAATGTAGGAAGCCCTGGGAGGGTCATGCTTGGGCTGTGTACAGTTCAATCTCCCACCAACACAAAATTCCTACTTTAAAGTCTTTGGTCTATGTGAATTTGTCTCCAATGCCATATTGAATCATATTTATTTCTATATAAAAGTAGTATGTTGATGTTTCTCCAAATCTCCCAGAAAAAAAAAATCAAAACTGTCCTAAATTTCTAATCTGATTCAAATGCTCCATAAGAAGCTGGGCAAACAGCATCTTATTAAAAATCTTTCTATTTTTAGGGCTGTCAGGATTATCACGTGGCTCTAAATTCTTTGTTTTGAAGTAGAGTCTTAGATAGATCAAGCTGGCCTTGAACTCAGTATGCAGTGGAGCTTGTCAGGGATGACCTTGAACTTCTGCTCCTCCTGCTTCCATCTCCTATGTGGCTTGTGCAACCCCACCTGGTTTTATTTGGTGCTGGGCTGGGCTTCATGAATGCCAGGCAAGGAAGCACTCCACCCACTCAACTACATCCCAGCCCTGGGTTTAAATTCTTTATTATAAGCACACAGCCTACCTAGTCGAGGCCTTGTAGTATTCCTGTCTCCCCATACAACTTTCTTACCTTAAATGCCCTCACTTTGCTCTCTCTGCTCTAAGGATTTGGTGAGAATAAATGACATGAAGTCTCTGGGGCTTGGAACTGCTTCAAAAGACTGTGTTCCAGAAGTCAGGGTGTGTTTTAAAAGTTCCCCTGTTCTTCCTTTTCTTTTGCTTCTTTCTGAATAGCTCACAGAAAAGGGGTCCTAAAAGGCATTTATTTTCAGTATGTGGCTGTGAAAGAGTCATTCATCTGTGAACGTGGAAATTCGGAGAGCAAGTACAGCATGAGTCTTCGAGGCAGGCAAAGGAAGCCAAGGGAAAAGCAGCTGGTACAAAAAGAAAAACCTCCAGAGAGAGCGTGGCAGAGGCCTTGCTAGGGAGGCTGTCAGGCAGCCCTCCTCTGTCTTGTTCCAATCCTGGATCTGCCCCTTACACACTTAGAATTAAACACCCAACAACAGCACTCAGGATAAGAATATCCCCATCATGCCTGGGGTGGATGCAGGCAGGCTTGGATCCCACTAGATTGAGTACTTTACACAAAGGATAATCCTGGCATCATCCAACCAGGGCAGCCTTGCTATTTTGTCCCTCTGTGGAGCAGCAGGAGGAGACTCAGACAAGAAGGGTGCAATGCTTGTCCCCACTGCAGGCATCCCCAGTTGGATCTCTGTCTGCTCTTACCATGGGCCTTGTGTTGGTCAAAGTGATTGTGGCTAATGTACTGTACAGTATTTGCATGTTAAGGCCTCCTCCTCCTCCTGCTGTACTCTGGAGCCTGTGGAATTACATGAGAAGAAACCCCAGACACTCTATTGGGTGAGACCCCTCTCTTCATGAATGCTATCTCAAATTGAGCAAGAGAACCCAAACTGAGCTGACAACATTAAGAGTATACAACACAGGCAGGTGGGATGGCTCATCAGGTAAAGGTGATTGCCACCAAGCCTGAGTGATGACTTGAGTTCGAGTCCTGGAAGCTACATGGTGGAGATTGAAAATCTTATCCTGCAAGGCATCCTCTATGTCTTCCACATATACACAGTGGCAAATCAATAAAAGTACTTTTAAATCATTGAGAGTGTAAAACACTTAGAGCTAAGTGGTCACGCCTAGGCTTAGAACCTTTTCTCTACAGATCTGCAGGTTTGGGGGGTGGAGGGAGGCCATTTGTTTTGACAACCATTTGAATCTGTAAATTTTGCTCTCTTGGCAGAATCTGGTTATTCTTCTCTGCCTAACCTGCCACACAGTCTTGCCCAAGTCATACAGGCTGTCCCTGGTTCTCCTGACCCACTCTTGAATCCACCTTGCTCTCAATACCCAAGTGCCCAAGGGGTAGCACTGTCATAAAACAATTCGTGCCCCTCCCCTCTCAGCCCTTCCTGGCTTCCTCTCATACTCGGAACAAACACTCAGTTCTGGCTGTGGGCTGCACCATCTGGTCCTGGTTCCCTTCCATTCTCAGCTCCCACTCTCCCCTCCTCACCAAGCTCCAGGCTCCTTGCCCCTCACTCTTCCTCAGAAATGCCAGTCACCTTCAACCTCAGGACCACAGCACTCTCCTCCCTACTGATAGCCTGATTCCTTGAATGTTTACTCAGTCCTCAATCTTGGTTCGTTTTGGTCTCTGCTCACATTTCTGGATCCTTTTAACTGGCTTTCACAAACAAAACAAAACAAAACAAAACATGGCTAGCCTTTGCCCTGCCTTGTTTCCTTCCTAGGATTTGTGCACAATTAGATGCCTTTTGCCCCAAAGGCAGCGTCTCCCCAACACGTAGAACATGGGGCATAATCAGTATTCTAACACTTTGTGAAAGAACAGGAGAATGAACAGTCAGAGCTCAGAATCCTTGGTAGACCTCACAGCTTACCTCCTAGAGTATGGGTTTTAAAAAGAAGACAGCAGACACAATGTAAACCAGCCGGAGTCTTGACAGTGACTCAGCTCTACCTGACCTGGTTTTCTCAGGTTGGATGCTACAACACTGTATAGGGCATTTAGTGCCCCCTGCCAGCTGCCCCACTTTCTGTGGGGTTCTAGAATCTTGGTCTCTTCCAAGTCGATCTCAGCTCCAAGCACCTCTCTCCACTCCCAACAAGCCCAGAGAGTGTTATGGCCTTCCTCCCAAGTTGGGGCTAAGTCTCACCTCCATCCACGCCCATGATGAAGCGTCCCACAATGAGCATTTCAAAGACTCCTGCCTGGAGTGAGCAGGCCATCAGCAATGCTGCACAAATTGCAAATCCATTATTAACCAGCAGTGTGTACTTCCTGGAAGGAAAAGTGGTTTGATGAGGAAGGACAATGTATTATGAGGCATGTTGCAGTCTTGCCCATCCCCCCAAACAGAGAGATCAGTAGAATGAGATTCATACGGTAGAACGAGCATGGGCTTCGGAATTAGGGTCATGGGTCGTTTCCACTCTTAGCTGTGTGACCTTGAGCCTGGCATCCACTCCCTGTCTCCCTGTTCACGATGGGGTAGATGGGGCACTGCCAACTAGAAGGCTATGGATTCCTTGTGGAAGTGTTTTATTTCATTAATTCTGAGTTTTATTTAGCATCTATCAAGATAAGGTGAAAGTCACAATGCAGGAGCCAGGCTAAGCAGAAAAACAGAAACCACTCAATATTCCAGTGGAAAGAGATGTTAGCATGGGGAGTTGAATAACTGTGTTAGAAGAGTGATTTATGTAAAAACTCCCTCAAAAGGGTGTGCCACCCTGTGGTGCTAGTGCCTTAGAGGCCCAGGAGGGGATCCCTGAAGAGCTGTCTCAGAGTGATACCGCTTGCTGGTACCATCTCTCTGATGGGCACCTTAGTCTGCTTCTCTGTATTGGATAAAAGCTGGAAACTGGAATCAGTGGCCAAGGAAAGTCAGGCAAACAGAATCAGGCTGGGAGTGTGGTGCCCAGACAATAGCTGGACAGCCAGGGTGGCATCCTACTGTTCTAGCTGGCAGACTTGACCCTCTGTTTCTCTTCCCTCCTTCCCTCACTTCCCCTCTCTCCCTCAATAAAACAATCATATTTCTTAATACTCTATAGGCACCTTAGATCTAATGAACTACAGTTTTAGATGTAAAGCTGGGTTGGAACCATCGAACAGAGCCAGACAAATTCCCCTGGCAATAATTTCTTTTACTGCTGTGTGACAGGATGGCTGTCTGTTTCAGAAATGTGTCCCTAAGCCCTCACAGCTGAGATTCATGCCTCACTTGGGGGCCTCTGTCTTTGAGGAGTGAGGAGGCTGTGTTTTCTTTTCTTCACCTGCAGAAACAACCCAGCAGCTCTCATGTATTCAAGCCTTGATGTGTGACAGGCTCTAGTCTAAGCACTGGGTATGACCTGTCTTCTGAGACAGGGGCTCTTTACATGCTTATGTCATACAAAATTAACCATGATGAGTTAGAAACTTGCTGTAAATCATGAGATTAGGAAGTTGAGGAGTTTAGGAAGCAGCCTCTCCTCACCCCTCCCCAACAACAACAACAAATCACTAAGTGAATTAAGAAACGTTGTGTTGTTTTGTAAATTATGAGAAGGGAGGCTTTTCAAAGGAGACTTAGTATTCCCTTTAGCAGTTAGATTTCTGGAGTTCCAGGACAACCTTCCATATGACTTCTGCCTCTTCTCCACATTTAAGCTAAGTTCCCTCTCTTTCTGCATCTTCCTGGACAACTTCCCGGTTACTGGCGTTTGCATCTGTGGCAATGGTACCAAGATACAACAGCATCCTGTAGCATCAGATGGTTGGAACAGCCCAAGTGTTCACTAATGGCAAACTAAGCCAAAGTCTGTTCACGTGGGTGTTGTGCTGGCATTAAATCAGAAGTGCCTTTTTATATTCTGAGGTGGGAAGAGCCCTAAGAGAGAAATAAAAAGGCCAAAGTGCAGAATTTGCTATAAACCATGCAATGATCTGTGTGGAAAAAGACATGTGACTATGTATGCGTATTAATGTTTGCATGTGTGTATGTGCATGTACGTGCATCTCTTTGTGTGTGCCTGTGTGTGTGTGTGCCTGTGTGTGTGTGTGCCTGTGTGTGTGTGTGTGTGTGTGTGTGTGTGTGTGTGTGTGTGTGTGTGTGTGTTAGGCATGAACCTTGGCCAAAGTGGTGTCTACAGAAAGGACTGAGGGACTGGAGGGCAAACGTGTAAAGGGAACCCTGAACTTGGTGTCAATTAGGTGCTTTAGAAATCAGAGCCACACGGATGTGTTAATTAGCCAAAATGATGTGATTTTGTTTTTTAAATCTAACTTAAACACACCTTATTATTGAAGAACAGTTATATCAGTGATACACCAAGATGGCTAAACATGATTAGAGTGTGTGTAGTGTATACAGTATGGATACACTAGATGAAGGGACAGTTTGTGTCCCAGGATAGAGTATGACAGTGTGAGACTCATTTCTCTATGAGAAAGGCAATTAATCTAAAACTTAACAACAGCTTGTTTCTGGAATTTTCTGTTTAATATTTCCCAATACAGCTGACTTCAAGTAACTGTAATCAAGGAAAGTGAGATCCTAGACAATAGAGGCTAGGGTGTGTAAACAGGACAGTGCCTGCCATTTGCCTGTTTCTTCTCCATCCTTCCTCCCTTCTCTGCCTTGCTGTAGGATTGGTATGGAAGGCCTCCCAATGGAGGGTGAAGAAGGACAGTCACAGGGCTCTGCATCTCACTCTCTCTGCTCGAATTACTGAGTGCATGCCCTCTAGGGACCCAGCTGTGGTTCCAGCAACTGTGTCCTGAAGTGTGTAACCCTGACCTTGGACTCTGGGAAGGCTGCCTCTCCATTTTAACTTTCCATCCCAGAGATGGGAGATGCTTGACTGTAAAAAGGAAAAAATAATATTTCTTGCAAGCATATTTCTCTCCTTGTAACTTACACTTATGGTTCCTGTCTTAACCTTTAAGACCTCATAGACCCAACCCTATTAGTAGAGCCTTATCAGAGAGGCTTGTCAAAGCTGATAAAAAATGTGGAAAGCTAAGGCTAGACACAACATTCTCAAACCTTGCTAAGACATCGTGCTTTCATTCCATGGACAGGGAAATAAGAAGCCTTACTAGAAATTAAACCTCAGCTCACTTGCAGATACCTCTCCATGGCATCACTACCATGACAGTGGGTGTTTGAGCTAGAGCATGTGAGAGAGAGCACTGTAAAGTAAATCTTCTGTGAGTGGCTCTAAGCCTGACAGCTCCTCAGGTTCACCAACAGTACTTACACAGTCACCTGACGAGTGAAGACAGTGATTTATGCTCAGGATGTGTAGTTAGCCAGTGACATTGTAGGTGATATGTAGAGTGCCAAGTGTGAACTAAGTGTCTCTGGTGCCCCCTGCTGATAACCTTGTCAGCCACAGTAGCTCATACAGGGATGCTGCCAAGCCAGCCTTTCAAAGCCTACATCGTGTGTGGCTGTCATAATGGTGCTACTTAACAAACCTTCACCATGGAGCAGGATCTGTCTAAAACACTGTATATTCACTGTCTAAATTGCCTTATGAGTTAGATAATTAAGTGTGTGGTGTTTTATCTGTGTTTGTGTCTGTGTGCTGCATGAATGCCTGCTGCCCACATAGGCCAGAAGAGGGCATCAGATCCTCTGGAACTGATACATAGTTGTGAGCCACCATGTGGGTATTGGGACTTGCACCCAGGTTCTGGGGAAGAACAGGAAATCTTAACCACTGAGCCCTCCCTCCAGCTTCAAGTTGGATCATCTTGAGGAAAAAGATCTGCAAGTACCTTAGTCAAGGCCACACTACTGAATGAAGGTCTAACATTCTAGTGACCATGACACAATCTGCCTGCAAAAGTAGCTGCCATCATCACTCATAGACATTTATTCTCTCTACAAACATCCATTCCTTCAGCACAGAACTGTGTGCTGAGCACCAGTCTAGATGGTGGCTGACAGGACAAAATCGGTTATTGTTAAGTTCCCAATAAGCAACATAGAACAGGTGGCATGCCAGTGTTGACCTATGCTGCCAAGACAGCTGAAGCAGAGAAGGGAATATCATTTTGCACATAGTGGACCAGGAGGATGTTCCTGGGAAGATGACATGAGAGAAAAGGTATGAAGAAGGAATGGATGGCTAGCCAGGAGCAGGCAGACAACATCATTGAGGTCAGTAGGGCTGGTGACAATGGAGGACCAAGGAGGCAGCAGCAGTAAGTGGCTAAATAGGAGTCACAGAAGTGTTCCTGAGGAGTGTGCTGGGACTCCAGGAGGTGTGAGTTCCTACCTCAGGAGAGGCAGGTAGCCACAGATAACAAAGAAAGGATTGACTTGGCCTGACTTCTAGCAAGACAGCTCGGTCATCTGAGCTGTTCACAGAGTGTGAGCAAGTGCTGCTGGTACCGTTGACCAGGCTGACATCAAGACAGGCTGTGAGAAGCAGTGAGATCCAGCATATTTTCAGGATAGCCATGCTGGGATTCACTGTTGGGCAGACAGAGGTGAAGAGCGAGGGAGAGGTCAAGCTGTCTTCTGAGGTTCTAGCCTGAACCTTTGCACTATCCCTGGTGGTGCCTTTGGTGCGCTGCAGGAATGTTAGTCACATCTGAGTCAGACAGGAAGCATTTGCAAACAGGGACGCACCCCCTCTAGCAACTTCATCATATTAAATCTTCCTTCCCAAAATAGCCCCAGCCTGACAGCCTCCTAGAGAGGATGGAAACCTTATTCGCAAATAATTCTCAAAGCTGACTCCCTGGGGCTCAGAGGCAGACTTTAATCATCGTGTTTCCATTTTCTCCCAAGGATGAACATAGCAACACAAACAAGGGGCATCAGTTTTGAGAGCAGAGTCCAAGATTTCCCGCAACTCCACCCATGGTGCCTGATTCACTGCTGGAAGCTTCTTCAATAGTGTCTGCTTTTTCCTGTGTGTCCCAGGAGGTTACTATCTCTTGGGCAGAGAGGAAAAGTGATAGGCTGGCGGGGAGGTTGGGCATCAGGTCTTTGAGAATGGTTCAGTGTGAGGAGGCTTGGACAGAATAAGGGAAGGGCGAGGGCAGCCTGAGAACCTCCTACAGGCTCAGCCTTTACAGGATCGAGATTTGTGGGTAGGAGACACAGGGCTTACTATTTTGGTTTGCATTTGCAAAGCACTGGTCAGTATGCCCTAGTGAATGGAGAAGCTGTGTGTGTGCCCTCTGCCTCCACAGGTCTTCCAGTAATTCTTAAGCCATAATAGCCTGAATGCCAAGATGGTGGTAGTTTGCTCCATCCTTTCCTGCTTCCCTGGCCTGAATTCTACTGTTCTTCACTTTTCTCTGTGTGCTTGGTAGACCTCAGTGGTTAAAAGTTACCTTAGCAAACATGTGCTTCTGCCATGCTCAGCATGGCAGAACATGTTGAAGAGCTCATGTGAACTCAAGAGTGTCAACTTCCATCACTTTCCACTGTCCATCTCTCCCTAGCCCCCTAGGCTGGGGTTTCAGGAGGCAGCCACCACTCCAATCTTTATTTGTGGGTTCTGGGAAATCTGAACTCAGGTACTTGTGCCCACATGACAGGTGCTTTCCCAAATAAGCCATCTCCCCTATCCATCACCTGGCACTTTTAAAGTAATTATTAAGAGGGGAATCCCAATGCTGGTCTATGCTGACCCTCCATGAAGAGACTGACAGGAGAAAGGCGAGGCTGAGAGATGGAGGAAAGAGACAGATCATTTGGGTTTCCTTGTGACATTCTATGAGCTGGCTGGTTCCACATTAGTTATGTGTGCCAATGAATTCCCTTTGGGGCTTAAGTCATCTTGATTTGGGCTCCATGACAGGTATTCAAAGACTTTCCTGAGTGACATGAGACACCCTGTAAATTTGTGTAAACTGCATCACATCCAGCCATCATAGCTGTTCCCTGTGGTAGGTCTGCTTATCTGTACTTCACAGAATTCTACCTTGGGAGGTCAGCTGCCTCTTCCTGAGCCTGTCACTCATCCTCAGCACTTATGGGGACTGTTAGGGCTTGCAGATGAACTTCTCAGTGTACCTGTCTAGCCCAGTGGCAATTCTGAGCCTCAGGAGTTGTGCTTTTCTTGTCCACAAACCCAAGTGTGTCCATATAGTGCCCCACCCATCCTGACAGCACCCAGACCAGTGTGCTGCATAGATAGATGTTCCTTTTTTAAAAAGATTTGTTTTATGTGTATGAATGCTCTATCTGCATGTACACCTTTATGCCAGAAGAGGGCATCAGATCTCACTAGAGATGGTTGTGAGCTACCATGAAGTTGCTGGGATGAACTCAGGTCCTTTGGAAGAGCAGCCAGTGCTCTTAACCGCTGAGCCATCTCTCCAGCCTTGGACAGATATTCTTGCACAGACTAACTGAGATCTGATCCAGGATTTCAAAGCCCATGTGGGTTTTCTTGCTTTGTTTCTTGTTTGCACCAATTTCCAGAGGCAAGAATCAGATTCAATGATATGATCAATGAGGAGAATTCTATCTTAGTTTAAAACACACGCACACACGCACACACGCACGCACGCACGCACGCACGCAAAACAACAAGAAAAACGCTGCTTCAAGCTCTTAGGACCCACCCACATCAGGAAGGGCCCTATTGTGCTAGTGGTGCTCACATCTCACATCGCTATGGGAACCATGATGGCTGACTCAAGCTGACTGCTTGGATGAGCATTTTATATTCAATATCTCCTTTAATCTCTATGCTAGCTCTCACACATGCCATTACTTTATTTTCATGCTACTGCTAACCAGGTTGGGTTAGAGAGTTCATGTAATTCATAGACACATCATGAGCCACCAGCATCGAAAAGCCCAGAGCGGAAGCTGAGCCTGTGGCCACGTCTGTGCACACACTGTCCTGCATGGTGAGGCAAAGAGGGGCCTGTGGCTACTGAAGGGGAGAGGAATGACTCCAAACAAAGGGCTGTGCTTCCACCGGAGTCTTCTAGGGTCTGAATTCTCTCAGCTGGAGGCTCCTGAGGAGGAGGAAACCGCATCCCTGGGGTCTGCCTAAGCTGATATGGTCCATCTCCAGAGACTGCTCCTTGATGTTCAAACTTTCCTGACTTCACTGCTCTCTGAACCCTGGTGCCATCTGGGAGATACCTCATCATGTGCCTATGGCTCAGCAGTCACAGACTTAACAGTGCTGTCGCCCGTGGGGGCCCTACCCAAGATGCAATTGAACTGGGGAAAGATTACGGGCCATCATGTACTGCTCCCAGCGTTAGCTCAGCCACATGTGAGCTAGCTGAGCCTACACAGCACCCTGGCCTCTCTGACCTCCCATTCCCCATCCACAGACCCATGAGAGCAGAGCAGATGAGACAAGAGAGTGTGTGAGAATGCCTGGAACAGGGAGGCGCCCTCAAAACACACCCTTCATTGCCTTAGGCAATAGCTATGCTTCCCCAGTACTGACAGTCAAGTAGTTACTGCTCTAAACCTGGCTTTGGGGACAAGGAAAGCATGAGAACTTCCCCCAGCTCACTGGGCACCATACCTTCATAGGCACCTCGTGGATGTATCCAACAAGGCCTTCAGAGAATCTTGCCGAGACATCAGTAATCTAATGAGCTCTTTGTTGGGGACATTAGGCAGGGTGGGAAGAAATGGGTGGGATCCTTCTTAGGAATGTTTCTCAAACCCCAAGGTCTGAGAGATTTTCTGGGGCTTGATGACTCCTCTCTCTAGTTTGTGTGAATGTAAAATAGAGGCTTATTGGGCAGCTACTTTGTATGGATGGCAAGGTGACCACAAACACATGGTCTCTGTTCACTGGGGTGCTTCTCATGGCATTCTCCTTCCTCTCATTTTCCCTAAAACCTGTAACACTGCCTGGGTGGAATCCATCATCCTGTACTTTGAATACATTAGATGACTTGGCCAAGGTCATCCAGCTAGTAGTGGGAGACTCATGATTCAAGTTCAGACATGAAACTTGCAGAGACTGTCATGTTCCCACTCACCTCAGCAGCCCCCCAAGAGACTATTGTTAACAGAAAGGAGACAGAAAAGAAAATGGGGTGTGGGGAGGAGCCTGATTAACCAAACTCCCCAGAGAGAAGGATTCATGTCATAGATAAGTTAGGGATGAGGCAAATGGAGTTAAGTGGATCTGATTGGAGAGGCTGGGTGTGAACTTAAACTGGTGTGTGTGTGTGTGTGTGTGTGTGTGTGTGTGTGTGTGGTACAGGGATACACTGTTGTGTGATTGCATGTGGAAGTCAGAGTTATTGTTCAGCAACCTTCCATCATTTTTGAGATAGTGTCTCCCATTGGCCTGTACATCTAATTTATTCATCTGTTTTACCAGGTCAGCTAGACTAGCTGGCTCGAAAGCTTCCAGGAACCCTCCCATCTTAGCCTCCTGTCATGCCATCCCTGGGATTACAAGGATCCACTGTGTGGATTTTGTGTGGATTCTCAGTATCTGAATTCAGGTCATAATACTTGTGAGGCAAGTGCTGTACTGACAGTCATCTCCCCAGCTCAAAACCTGGAGTTTTCCATACATAATTTACTGCAGCCTTATTGGTGATGGGGACAACTGAAGTTCCCCAAGTGCCCCTCAGTCACACAGCGGAAGACATCCTGAATAGTTGGTTGTCTTACAAGGATGATACACTGTACTTCTATGGAACAACCTCTAAGGCTTTGCTGGGTGTTCTCCAGTTCTCCAGTCCAGGACCACTCCCCTGTCTGCTCTGTTCTGGCCTTAACTAGGCACCTTAGCTTCCTGCAGCAGACTGGAGGGTGGGAAGACAGAAGAGTCAGGGCATTTCTTCCCTGTTCCCTCCACTTGGGTTCTACCCAGCCCAGGCACTCCACAGTTTCAGCCTCATTGGTCACTGTATCACCCAATCTTCCTAGACACTGGCACTCTCTTCCCTCTTCCCTTTAGGCAGTAAAGCCTTTACAGCAAAGCTGTATGGAACCCCGTTGCCTGCTGGGACACTGATAAGATGCAGAAGCCTTATAATTATCATAGAAGGGACCCCAAAGAGAAACAGTGCCCGTACTGACCTCCCAATAAACTTTCCGATGAACTTCACCAGCAGCGTCCCCACCAGGCCACCAATTGCAAATATGGACACAGTCACAGACCAGAGCAGGGTCAAGGTATCCGGGTTTATGGGATGTCCATGCCTTCTGTACCAGGTTTCATTGTAAAAGGCCTTGATATACTGGAAACAAATAAGAGGAGTTATTTCCTTCTGCTCTGCCTGTGCTGGAAGCGAATCAAAAAGCTCTTTACAGGGCACTTCCAGCATGCTTGGCACCTTGCAGAGCTTGATCTCACTGGGCTCTTCTAACAAATACGGGGAATGGCCCTTACAACATGACTTGTTTGGTGAGTGTAAAGCCTGGGAGTCAAACAGATCTGGACCTAAGTTCTGACTTTACTACTCAGTGGCATAAATTGGGAAGTGTCTTAAAAAGTGCACACTTCTAACAGAAGTACTGCCATGCAAGAGCGACGCTACATCTCAGGAAAGACAATAAGCCTGAAAGAAAGAAAACTGTTCTCTTGAATTGAATTAAAAGTCAAGTCTCTTGCTCTTCAAAAGTCACCATGGAAAAAAATTAAGAAAAGGGCCTAATGACTTAGTTGGTAATGGTGCCTGCCACCAAGCCTGAAGACTGGAGTTTGATCACCGAGATCCACATAGTAAAAGGAGAGAACTGGGTCTCTCAAATTATCTCTGATCTTCACACATGTACCATAGCATATACCCACATACAAATAGGCAAATAATTCAATTAAAATTCTTTTAAATGAAGATATGCCATAGACTGAGTTAATATATTTGTAATGCATCTGCCTACAAAGAAAATAATTCACAATATGTGAAGAACTTTAAAATATCCATTAGAAGAAAAATGAAGGGCTAGATAGATGGCTCAGCAGTTAAGAGCATTTGTTACTCTTCCACTAGACCCAGGAAAAACTAGGGTTTGACTCTCACAGACCTGAGCTGAATGCTTATGATTTTAAGCAGCTTCTTCATCTGCAGGATGGAAAGGATGACACTGACCTCTGGGGGCTGATATGAGGGGCAAATAAGAACACAAAGCAGTGTCCAGTACTGGAATGGAGCTCATACAATCACCACTTAGATAAAGATACTTCAATGACCAGATCAGCAGATATGCTTCTAGAAAATTCCACTGCACAACTTTCCTTCAGGCACTGGGATGTATGTACTCAAATGTCCACAGTGACATTATTCATAATAACCCCAAACAAGAAACATGCCAGATACTCGTGGCAGAACAGATTAACAAATTATAGAACAATCATAATGGGAAGAACTGCAGCTACAAGCGTGAATGAACTATAGCTCCGTGCACAGAGGGACTCTGACACCTTAATAGCCATCCAAGGATGAGCTCCTGTCGTTCTATCTCAAGAGCCAGTGAAGACAAGCGTACCATGACAACATGAGCGCAAAACGTTGTGACTATAGAATCCAGTCACATGACCTAGATCAGGGAAGTCATAAGTGCAGCTAGTCTGGTTCCAAGCTGGACAGCTATGGATAGAGAACAAAATACTCAGGGAGCATAGCTGGAGATCATGTATTGATATAGAGGAGCTGCACATTACCCAATGGGGCTGAATGGTGGCCCAGCTCAGGAGAAGGCTGTAGGGCAAGGCAGGGGCTGGCTGTGACTGGCTTTACTCATATGCTGTAAGTGTGCACTTGGTCCTGCAGCTCCCAGGAGGTTTGAGTGTGGGTCAGCAGCTGTGATCTGTTGCAGGGGTGGTCACTGTAGGTATAGCTTGAAGGTTCTTCCAAGGTTTATAGGATGAAGCTGGCGTGGTGAGGAAGTTTCTGCATTTGGTACTAGATGGTGAGCTGATAGGACTTCAGAATGAACCCCATAAGGAGTGCTAACTAGAGTTTAGAAACGTATAAGAATGTATAAGAATGCAAAGAAATGTTTAAGAGGCAGCGTGGGTAAAGGGAAAGAGACCAAACGCAGATCTGACCATCTTGACTCCAAGACTTGTTTGCATCTTTGAGACTTTTGTGAACTTTGGGGTGGCCTGACAAAGCTCAAGTTCCACATCTCTGGGCAGTGTTTTGGGTGCCAAGGACCTTGGCATCTGTTTTGTCACATTTGCCTCTTTGCCACTTACCTACTTGGTGACTGAATGAGTTACTTAACATCTCTGAACCTTAGGTCCTGCAACTAATGTCATTGTCCCCTCCAAGGATTTACTGTTAGGACTCACAGGAAGAAAATACAAAAGCCCAGTACTGGTCTTTAGAATCCTACAATAGAATCCAGGCAGAGGAGTGGCTGGTGGTGGAGGAATCAATATCATGTTTCTGTGTCTGTAAAATAAGGGAGGTCTAGACACATTATTTCCTAGGTCCAAGAATCTATAAATAATTCACCATTGCCTCCCAGCCTAAAAACCCAAGGGCCATGAGTCGACAATAAATTGAACTATGCAATTCCTTTCCCCCAAAGGTTGGCAGAAAATGCCGGGCAATGGAAGGCAAATTACATTGCAGCCTGGTTTGTGATATTAACACTGCTAGATTCGTCAAGACCCTGGCAAGCATTCATCTACAGCAACTTTCATGGGTGTCCTAAATATATACAGAAATAGAATACTTTGTGGGGGGTCCAGGGGGGTCCAGGGGACTAATGTGTTGCCCAAGAGAGTCAACTGCACTTGAGGGGCTTGTGAAGAGTCAGCACAAGCAAACAGCAGCAGGAGGAAATGGATATGGATGCCCTTACCAAGGCTCCTTGATATATGCACACAACATCCCACAGGGCCACCTCACATCACCTGGCTCCCCACACCAAAACAGCACATAGAAGGTACTCACTATATCTCAATGGCATCCCCTAAAAGCAGAAGTACTGTTTCTAGTCTGGGTCAGCTGTCCTACCTCTCTGATGGTAGTAGTCACTGCCCACATACTACTGAGCAAGGGCTCCCTCGAGCCATGATGACACTATGGTTTTATCCCACTGCGCAACAAACACATTTTCCCAGGGGAGCTTAATGACAAGAAAGCTATAAATCAAAAATAAAGGCTTTCCAGCTCTAGCAAGCTGAGATTCCAGGGGGTGGAGAGAGGCAAGGGAGTCCCACTTTCTAAAACACCAGAGAAGGTCCCTTCTGCCAGTCAGCAATCCTACCAGTTATGATCAAAAACCAAACCACACCCAGTGGAGACTGAATGCTCCCGATTTAACATAGCAGCATCTTCGAGACAAATTAGGAGTGACAGTCCAGATTTAGAGATGTGCAGTGCAGTGTGAAGAAAACTCCATGATGGAGACTTCCCAGTTCGTGGAAGGATGCTCGTTATACAAACACTAGTGGATGTGGATCGGGGTAAACCGCAAGAAATAGCCTATGTGCTAACATGTCGAAAAGCAGGCTTACATGAAGCCTTCCTAGGGCCTCTGGGAGGAGCCCAGGCTTTGGATTTTGGGAAGATTGAGCAGGCTGCCTTGGGCAGTTGCTTGCTCTCCCCTTCATTAGTACCATGGAGTTATTACCCTGGCATGGTCTCTAGACAAATGAGAGACATGGTCCTAACTCGTGGAGGTGATTCGTGCCAAGAGTTCTGTTGTTAAATCTCTGGCTCTTTTCCTAAATCTGTTGCTTGTACAACTGCCAAACAAGACCAGGTGAAAACAAGAAAGAGGCTGGAAAGTGGAGTGAGGGGGAGGAGATCTTGGGCTCAGAGATGCCCATTCTATCAGCCTGCCAGCCGTTTCTGGCACAGTGAGACCTTGTCTCACCAAAACAAATATCTGCAGCTAATTTGAGCATCTCTGCTTGCACTCTCTTTTGTCTAGGCTGCAGTCCTTCTTGGAGGCTCTTTTTGGGGACCTACTCCAGAGGTCATTCTACCTAGTTCTGCTGCTCTTCTTGGCTCAGTGTATGACAAGAGGGGCAGGGGCGCTGACATTACCACTCTACCTAGGTCAGCAGCAGCCCCACCTGCCCAATGATGGGAACTCATTCCAGCTCCCAGAGAGCTGCCTGTGAAGCTCAGACAGCTTACTGCAGGTGCAATGTCTCCATCCAGCCCTCTCTGGCCTCTTGAGTGCAGGCATGGGGAGACCACATGACCAAGGCATATTTCCCTCTGCAGCTCTGGCCATCACAGTCTTCCAGTAGTACTAACAAACCCAGTGCTCTGAGGAGCTACATTCTCCTACGTAACAGCAAAAGTTAAACCATATGAATCTGAGGTCATTTACCATGTGCCAGATCAGCATCTTTATCCTGTCTGCATGACCACTTGAGAGTCTAGGCCATGTTCAAAGACATCTGATTAGCATGTAAATTAGGCTCAGATCCTTCAGCCTTCTGCAAGGGGATCCAAATGCTTTTGGCAGACATGTAGATAGGTCTGATGGATAGATGATAGAAAGACAGATCATGATAGACTTGGTTACTGGAAACAAACAAACCAATGCTGTGCTAATCACCAATAATCTGGCAATAGAGTGAAATTCTGGGAAAGAAACACTACAGGAAGACTTCAGTCTAAGATGGGCTGTGGTGTTGCACACCTTTAATCCAAGTGCTTGGGAGGCAGAGGCAGGCAGATCTCTGAGTTTGAGGCCAGCCTGGCCTATAAAGTAAGTTCCAAGAGAGCCAAAGCTACACAGAGAAACCCTGTCTTGAAAAACAAAAACAACACCAACAAACAAAAAAGGCTTCAGTTTGTGTTGGACACTACATACTTTTGACCATGTGCTAACTGTTCAGCCAGCTTGTCTTCTGCCAGAAACTAAGACATGGGGAGGTCACTGCTACCTCCAGACTCTCTTAGAACCCCAGACACAGGGATTAGCCAATTATTTGTAGCCCACTACTTGTTTTAGTAAATAAAGTTTTATTGGTACACAGTTTTACTTATTCATTTACATGTTGTCTCTGGATGCTTTCTCATCACAAAGGCAAAATTGAAGAATTGCAAAAGAGAACCATATAGCCTTGTTAAGTCAAATATGCGGTCTGGACCTTTATAAAGAAAAAATGTGTATTGACCTCTGTAGCAGGTCATCATAAGATAGCAGAAAGATGGGTCACTAGATAATTAGACCTGGGTCTGAGTGTCATCTGTGAACACAATAGATGCAGTGCCTGAATTCTTACACAGGGCAGACACACTCTGTTGATAGCAATTTGATTGGGAGAGAGAGGCCCAGGAAACTTGTCTCAGAACTACCAAAAAAAAAAATACCTTGAAAAAAATAAAACAAAAGAAAGTCCTTTAGAACCTTTGTATTTGTCTTTTTAACTATTCAGAGTATAGTTATGGCAAATGTTCACTTTGTGTTGGGTCTTGTTCTAGGTGGTAACACAGCAGAAGCAGTAATATCAGAGAGGCTATGTCTTCATGAAGACTAAATTTTAAATAGGAAGAGAGACAAGAAGCAAAGACACACCATCTCGGGTGGTGTCAAATTCTGAAAGTACTACAAAGGGTAATAATTTGAGTGAAGGACTACAGAGGCTTAGGGGGGTGTCGTTCCACATGGGCAGGTCAGGGAAGGTGTCACTGAGGAAGACAGAGTTAAGAAGAGGCAGGAGATAATCAAAGAGAAGACACGGGCTATCTGAAAAGAAAAGTGTTCCAGCTGAAGAGAACAGAAAGTGCAAAGGCCCTGTGGTTTCAGTGTGTCTGAGGTAGGGCACCGAGGGTCAAATGGATGGAAGAGGTCAGGAAAATGTACCTTGTATTGAGAACAATATTAACTAGGAGCCAGACTCCCAGCTGTGCAGTCACAGAGGTACATGTGGTTTTCTAAGTGTGATGTTCGGGTTGTGGATTTTGAAGCACCCGAATTCATCAAATATCGCTTTGGTGTTTGAATAGAGGAGAAACTGTTGGGATCCAGGTAGAAATGGGGAGGCTAGTTAGATGGCTCCATGAGCCAGGCTACAGACAGAACTGGGGGAGAAGGAGTTGGCAGCCATCATAGTCATCAATCCCAACCTCATCAGAGCCTCCACCTCAACAGGTTCAGTGGCTAAAGACAGTGACAATTTCACCAAGTCTAATGCATGTCAGACAGCTCTCTTGGGCCTTTGGGTGCCTCAACTGGTTTTTACATGCTGTGCTCTTCTCACATCTACTGACTTGAAGTGACCACAGATCCTCTGTGGATACAGGAAGCCACAAGGGTACTCTCGCTGTGGGACAGGACATTCAGATTCTGGGAACCTCTGAAAGCAGGGCGAATGGGTTCACTTAGGGTGATGGCATTGAAGGGGAACTTAGGACAGTAGTTAGTTAATCCAGGAAAGTAGACATACTGGATACTGGTCTCCACTGGCCACTGTCACATGAGGTTAGCTGAGACTCCCATCAGAATGGTCATGAAGGTGGAGTGTGTGACTGTGAGCACTGGCTAGAACAACCACAGCCCAAGTGTGTGTGTGTGTGTGTGTGTGTGTGTGTGTGTGTGTGTGTTGTCTGTATTGCAGGCTTCTAAATATCAGAAGTAAAAGAGCTTCTTTAAGGTCCGGCCTGGATGATAGTCAGGGCCAGGGTCAGCTAGTGTGTGGATTGGTCAAGCAGCGAGACACTGCCTCCCTCATGGTAACTAGCTAAAGCATGGATTCCTTCTGAGCCTTGTCACCTAGACCCCAAGTGTCCCATCACTGAAGCTGATGACCTGGCCTCAGAAGGCACTGCAGTGCTTGGGTCACTATCCTCAGTTGCAACTTTTCTCTCTCAGCACTGCCTGGTGGTGGCCTCTGCCACCCTCTCTGAACATCTCTGCCCTTGTGTCTGAGTTGTTCCTTCCCTGGACTGCCTTCTCCTTCACAAGGTCCCTGTGCCTCAACCTCCTGCCATGCTCCCATCTGCACACGACCCCCTCCTGTGGAGAGCCTACTCTTGTGCTATGAACATGCTCACTGTCTTCGTGCTCATCCTGTCCCTCAGCTGGCTGTGCCAAGTATCCCTATGCTTTAAGAATCTGGCACTGGTGGCCAGTGACAGGGGTTCTAAAGGTCATGGGTTAGATTCAGACAAACCTGGGTCTATATCTCAGCACTGCCTTCTCCTAGCTGACCTTGGGCAAGTTACTGTTTTATTGTGATGGGATGAAGGTAACATCAATGTACTGAAATCTGTCCCTCCACCACCAAATTCCTATGTTGAAGTCTTAACTCCTTGGGCCTCCCCTCATGAACCTGCTATGGCTCCCAAGTGCCCAGAGATCAAGGTCATGCTATTCAACTGCAGACCTGAGCTCTATTTTTTTTTCCTTTCTGTCTTTTCTCTTTTGGAATATTTTCAATCTGTGGGGTTTCTTCTGTTTCACCATTTGTTTTCTCAGTACTGGGGATTGACCCCAGGGCCTCCTCTGTGTTAGGCAAGTGCTCTACCACTGAGCCTCAAACCCAGCCTCCTCCTAGACTTTAACCTCTTCTCCCATCCTATCTCCTCATTCTCCTTTGGGCCTGGCAAGCCACACCTCCACTATTATCAGCATACCAGCTCTTTAAACTGCCAGGCCTTGGGTGCTTTGGTTCCCCTGCCTCTGCCTCTGACACTACTGGAAATGCTTCAGCCATGCTGGACTCAGCTCAAGGGCCACCTCCTCCAGATTGCCTTCCTGATTCCCAGCATCCAGCATGTGACAGTACTCAATAGGTGTCTGTTGAGTGAATAACTGCTCTTCCCTGTGGTTCATGGGTCAATCATGTCATGCTATCCAGGTTCAAGTCTTTTTTGAATCTCTGTTCCACAAATGCCCCATTCTCTTGTGTGACTGCCCCAATGAACTTTCCAGATGAAATAAGAGTCCAAATTCCCAGCCTCTTTTTTTTTCAGAGACAAATCCAGATTAAGTCAGATTCTCAGCTTGAAATGACAAAGTCAAAAAGACACAGGCAACTGCAGACATCTGGAGGAGCCACCTGACATCATTTTTCCCAGCAGCCTTTGGCATTAGAACCCATTTTTGAACTAACTTAGCTAGAACACCTAATGTCAGCATTAACACAATTTTACAATCCGGATCTGCCCTGGCACAGATGGAGCCTGCAATCCTGTGGCACCTGTACCCTCTTGGAGATTCACCAGGCTTGGCTCCTCTGTATTTGACACAGGAGAATGTTGGCACTCAAACAAAACAAAGCCTGAAGAGCTACTGGAGCCACCAGGCTTCTATCTGCCTCAGGCTGCCCCAACATGCCCCTGTGCTCCAACCACCTGTACTTTCCCTAGCCTTTCTCCAGGTTTCTCCGAATCTGTAGCCTCTCAGGTCTGCCCTCCACCTGTAAGCCTGGGCTCAGCATCAGCCTCTGCCCCTCCTCTTGCCATTTCTATCTTGCCAGGAACTAGCAGCAGAAAACATGGCCTCTGGAAGACCTTCACTTGCTACCAGCAGAGCTCCTGGAATTGATCTCAGACAAACAGGAGCCAGGGGTGAATCATAACAGGTAGCTCTGAGTGTGGTTGAAAGTTAAATTTAAAAGGACAAGTCAAAACGTAGTCTGTGTGCTCCAGGCTCCTTAATTCCCTATACTGGTATTAGAGCCCGCAAGCCCTTTGGACCTCTGCCAGCCCTCTTGTGTCCAAGTGCCCTAGGATATCTCAGTTCAGCGACAAGGAACTGATCACCCCCCCCCTCAAAAAAAAAAAAACGCCCTCTTGTACTGTCACCCTACATTTACTGGTCACCCTTCACATTCAGCTTTGCACTCAACCACTGTGCCCTGCCTTGCAGGTGGCCTAACTGCTGGCCTTGTGACTTGAAGGTCTCTGTGTGGGCGCAGCGCCCTCTAGCGGGCGGATGGCTCGGGCACTCACCGGCGTGGGCGCGTTCACCACGGAGAGGTTGTACCCATAGAGGAAGGAAGATCCGAAGGCTCCCACGAGAGCGGCCACGACGAGCGACCAGGACCAGTCCTAGGAAGGGAGAGAAAAGCGTCAGAATGAGGTGCTCCCTTAATAGGAAGGCGGTCCAGGAGGAATTCAGGCGGGAAAAACGCAGGTTGGGGAAGAGGGGGTGGGGGATGCAGCAGAGTTCACGCCATAAGGTCCCGCCAGGTAGCTGTCTACCAGCAGGGCCGCCTTAAGACCTCCTCCCCACCCCCACCCTTCTGCTGGATGTGGTCGTGTCGGCCTCTGGAGGAGCAAAAAGCAAAGCTAAGTTCTTAACAAAGGACTACTGCCAGACATTGTTCTATGTTATCATTCTTCCCCTGAATGCCTAGACTAGTCGTCAGGTTCCACCCAGTGTCACAGAGGAGGGGGAAAGGGGTATAGAGCTGTCCCTGGTGCTGCCTGGGGATAAGCCTGGAGCCCGAGCTGGTTCTCATTGCAGCACAAGGCACCCTACCAGCACAGCTGACTCCTCACCTGGGTCTGATACAGGTGATAGCCACACAGATGCACACCGGTGTACATGTACACACACACGCACAGTTCCAGATCAAAGCATGAGCCTGCAAGGCTCAGCACACCTAAGATAAGGACCTGCAGGGCTTCTGCTAAGAATGTGGCATCTGCATCCAGGGGCACCTGTCGCAGCCTTATCCAAGAGGACCACAACCAGGAACTGGCCAAACTCACAAATGCCCGTGGCCTGGTGGAGGAGACCAGGGCGTGTGTTTTGTTGCAATTTATAGATGTGAGGTCCACACCATACCACACATGCACATACCTGCTTGTGCCAAGGGTGTACCAAGATAATATCCAGTTTAGAGACCAGGCATGCATATAGTTTGGAAGGTGACAATGGCCTCTAACAGCAATTCCATGCTCTACCCTTAGTCTCTTCTTGCCAGTTTCCAGTACCACACAGTTGTGGGCATCTGAGCAGAGACAGGGGCTCTCTGGGGTTCAACTTGTCCATCTATAAAATGGGCTTTTAATAGCAATACTGCTGCTGAGAAACCAGTGGGCAGCTAGACAGCCAGTTCTCAAAGAAAAACAGAAACTCCTTTCCTCTCTTTACTTCCCTCTAGCCCAGCCTCTGCCAAGATAGACAAGATTTGGCTCTCCACCCTGTCCACCTAAAGTTCTCTGAGAGGCTCTCTCATTATCTGAGACCCACTGCAAAAGCCCCTTCCTCTGGGAAGCCTCCAGAAAGCCACCTACTTGCCTCACCTTGTCTTTCATGTTTATCTCTTTAATTCAACCTTAGATCCTAACACTGCAGCTTTCATAGTGTTGTAAGCTTTGACCAGTTACATGGCCACTCCTTGACTCAGCTTCCTCATCTTTAAGATGAGGGTGATAATAGAATTCACACCATAAGGGGTTTGCATAAGAAGCGGAGAGCCTGACGCTGGCACTGGCACCCATCCCATGTCAGGCTCCAGGGGGTGGAGCATGTCCTGAGGGCTGGGCTCTGTTGTTTGTCTCCTGTGTCTGTGCCAAGCCTGTTGCTGAGGCATCCCTGGGTAGATGCTAGTAGCACGGTAGAAGACAGGGGGTGGGGGTTGTCACACCAGGGATGGGCATTGCCAAATAAAATGGGCCTAGATCAGTGCTGTGCTGTAGGATGAGTTTAAGTTCTGTCTGGGTCTGAGCTCAGAGACTATATCCTCTGAACTGCCCAGCACCAGCTACACTACGCATTTTTTTTTTTCTAGGCCCTATGCTTCACCCTGGCTCTCAAACCTGAACTTCTTAAGGGTGGACCGGCCCATCAGATCTGGAGATCCTTCCAGGCAGGGGAGGATTTCAAGTGGAAGCCATCTCCTGCCTTGGTCCCTCTTCTGAGGGTTCTCTGCTTTTTTGTGGCCTGTTGGTTCGCTGGTGTTGTGTCGTGCCCCCCCCCAAAAAAACACACACACACTTCCACTGATCCCAGAAAAAGATGGTCAGCCCTGAGCAAGCATGAGGTGGCTGTCCACCAGAACTTCATTCTCAGAATGCTGGAGTGGAATCACGGGAGGGAGTCAACAGGAGGGAGTACAGAATTCAAACTCACGCATTCCTGCTCCCAGTGTTATGTTGCACTGCTGCCAGACAGAAGCTGAGCTCTGTCCCATAGCAGCCACCCAGGCTGGCCTGAATTCCCCACAGCAGAGAAGCCGTTCTGTGTTTACCTTCTTCCTCCTCAGCCGGTGACCCACAGGCAGCTCCCCAGGCCAGCTGGTGTCATGTATCATAGAAGCTAAGGCGAGCTCCCTGGCATTCATGTTTTTTCTTTCCTGGCTCCAGGACCCTGGACTCGCTGGGGCATCTCCACAGTTAGGAGGCAGAGTCCACAGGAACGAGGGCAGAGCAGGAGAGGGCAGAGCAGGAAGTGCAGCTGTATGATCGTGCCTGAACAGGAAGCGAGGAACATTGCTCCCCTTCCCCTAAGCAAATGGAGAGTCTAAAAAGGACATCTGCTCTCCTCAGTCACACCCATATCTTGGAGGGTTTTCTTTGGCAATAGTTTTTCACAATTCTCTTTAACAAGGTCAGAGCTCTGGATGTGCCAGCTAACCCAAACCCGGAGAAAGTTCCTAAGAATTAAGGCTAAAGGTCATTGACTTCACTTTAGAAGCTGGGTGAGTTCCAGTGCTGACTCCTCTGCCTACTGTGTGTCCGCAGGCAAGTCCTGACACTTCTGAGCTTCCATTCTGCCAGTGCAAATGGAATATTGATCTTTCTCTAAATGTCTTGCAGAGTCATTCTGCTGCTCAAATAGCAAACCGGCAGCCCCAGCAGCCTGCAGGAATGCCTGTGGACCTCTCTGCAGGCTCCAATAAAAGTTCAATAAAAGCATAAAGAGTCAATGACATCATGCATACCAGGATAGCATGAGAATTAATTCATTCTGTGGCCAGTTTGCCCCCATGTCAGTCAGAGAAGTATCTTCAGTAACCCTTGGTCAGGATGTATCTGTTCTCTGAGAGTCTAGGAAGGGACAGGGGCAGGCTTGGTCAATGCAGAATGCCTAGAAGATGAGGGACAGGGTTCAAGTCCCCACACAAGACTCTGAGAAGCTCACAAGCTATATTTAGTGGAAAGGACACATGGAGATAAGGAATGTGAGAAGGAGAACTGTGCTGGGGGCCTGATTGTCACATGCATCTGAAGGCCTGCAGCCCCAGAAAGCACAGCGAGGAGGCAATGCTGCCCAGGGTGAGCAGGAACCACTCTGAGCAAGAAAAACCAGCTTTAGTCCTAAGCCAGGGATTCACAGACCCCAGGTAATCACCCAGTGTGACATTCCTCAACCAGGGACACCTCCTGAAGGCACAGATAGCTGATGCAGGTGACTTGTGAAATATTAGTTTAAGATGTATTACATTCCTTTAAGCTATTGAGTAGTTGTTTAATGATGCAAAGATGTGTTGCATTCTTTTATGTTGCATTTGCTTAACTCTGAGAAGCTGTGTTACTTTGCCTGTCTAAAACACCTGATTGGTCTAATAAAGAGCTGAATGTCTGATAGCTAGGCAGGAGACAAGGATAGGTGGGGCTTCCAGGCAGAGGGAAGAAACAGGGGGAGAAATCTAGGCTGGAGAGAAGGAGGGAGGTTCACGAAAAGGAGGTGAGGAGGATACCAGGGGCCAGCCACCCAACCACATAACCAACCAGACAGTAATAATGGAAGAAAGGTCCAGAGGCAAAACATAGAAGAAGAGAAACAGGTTAATTTAAGTTAGAAAATAAGAGAAGCTAAGGCCGGGGTTCATAAGTAAGAATATGCCTCTGTGTATTCATTTGGGAGCTGGGTGGCAGGCCCCCAAAGAGTAAAAATACAAACAACTAAACAACTCCAGGTGACAGGCAAAAGGACTACATTCTGGGACCTAAAGTGCAGGAGGGGTAGCAAAGACTCAGGGACTGCCACACCCCTACACACTAAGGACTTAGCCAGGGTCTCATTTCTGCCTTACCCACCACCCAGCTTTCTTCAGTGTACTGTTTTCTCACTGCAACAACAGACCTCATCAGCTATTAAAAGCTTGCTGAAATTTCATCATGTAACTCCTACCCCACTTAACCTTCCCATAGAGGCAGCAAGCTCAAGGACATAAGGTTCCAGGTAGTTAACATACACATGCAAGTACAGCAGGGCACGATCTCACAGAGATGCCGCGCCAGGGCCCTGTGTCACTCTGAGAGCTGTCTTTCCACCCCACCCTCATCTTGCTTATCATTGAGGACAGGATGCCTAGAGGTCAGATGTCTCTCTTCTGTTGGGCTATTCCAAATTGAACCTTAGAGGGTTGCCAAGGTGATCTAGAGATGACCTCTACATGCCATCTCTCTTTCTCCCTCTCCCCCCTCTCTCTCACACACACACATAAGAGTTGACAGTTATTATGGTAACAACAGAAAAGAACTACAGGAGGAGAAAATAGAGATGGGCTCAAATTCCTCAAAATCTCCACCCATTGAGAGAAAACACACGGACATCCCTGACTTGCTAGTATCTCCACTTCTATTCTTTGCCAAGAACACCAGTTTGACCAAGAGAAGTGAATGGGGGACTGGATGTTCATGTAAAGGTCCCAGTAGGTGGCTCTGGCTGTAAGCTCTTGGATGTGGTTTGAAGAGGTCCAAGCAGTGCTAAGCAAGGGGATCTTCCCAGCTGCTAAGTGTTAGGTTTGAGTCAATCGGACTTGATGTTGCCACCATTTTACAGACACCAGCAGGCATCCTATGGTGGGGTGGGGAGACAAGTCTGTGCTAGGCTCCTTGAGGCCTCTAGACTTCAGGTTATGAGAAATCCCAGAGGTGAGATCACTCTGTCTCCTGCAGCAGATTTCTTAGTTGATTCTGGGCTCTTCGTTGCTACAAAGAAGCGAACAGCCTGACTGCCTGACTAAATTTGTAAGGCAATCTCCCTAAGTATCCAAACTCCAGGACAATGACAGGCCCCTAAGAACTTAGACACCTCAGACATTTAAGGGTGAAGGCCTCTCCTCATCCGCTGAAGGCAGCTGAGGTGCCTTTTCTCTACAGTGACACCCTTAACTGCTAGATTCCTCATTTCCGTGTAGTGGAAGAAGATCCTTCCCCACCCTAAATGCTCTATAGCGACCTCCCATATCTTCTCCAGTGCCCTGATGTTTCCTCTCTTCCTTTCTTCCTCTTCTGGACCCCTGCCACATCCTCTATGGCATTAAATAGATCCTGTTGCCTGAAGGAATGCTCTTTGTCAATGTCCTCTGTCCACCTTCTGCTGTGGAATTCCTAGAGATAGAAACAGGTGGAGCAGGGTTGGGTTTCAATGCATGCTTACTGAAATTACATGCATGTGCTTGCATGCATGCTTTCGTGCCTGCATTTGTGTCTGAGCAGACTCATAGAGTCGAGGCCAAAGATTGATGATGTGCCTCTGTATATGTGTGTGTGTGTGTGTGTGTGTGTGTGTGTGTGTGTGTCTGTCTGTCTGTCTGTCTGTCTGTGTGTCTGTGTGTCTGGACATGTACATAGGGTCAACGCCAAAGATAGATGTCAGATGTCTCCCTCTTACTTTCCACCTTAGTTTTTGAGACAGGATCTGTCACCGAATATGGAGCTCCTCTATTCCTTGATGCTGATGGCTAGTGAGTTCCTGGGCCACCAGTGTCCATCCTCTGCCTCAGCACTAGAGTTACAAATGTGTACCTACCACTACTTCTGGCCTTTACTTGGGTTCCATGTAGTACTTTACCGACTGAGCCATCTCACCAAATCCTCAATGTATCATTTAAGAACAATGATCAAATTGTAGTCATCATTAAGGTCCCCTCCTCGATATTTGGAATGGGGACCCTCACAGAAAGTCAAGAGAGCCACCAGCATAACAGGACTCTGGTGACCATCTCCCTGCAAAGCCCATCCCAGACATATATATCAATCACAGCATCCCTCACTGCTGTCTGTCCTCTTGGTAACCTGCTCTGTGCTGTTGTCACCCCAGCCTGCCTCCCCTGGACAGGGAGCATTAATGATAAGGAAGGACTGCCATGTCCTGGCTACTGGGAATGCACAGGTAAGTGGAAACAAGAAGACAGGACTGACCACCTTCCTCTGCTCCTTCTGACTTTCTTTGTTTTCTTCTGGGTCCTTCTTCCTGAGCTTCATGGTTTCTTTTTCAGGCCTTGGGCTTCCTGTTGTTCCTAAGAGCAAAAGAAAGGGTGCCATTTAACCTGCTGTCAAAGATGTGTAAGTCAGAGGGATCCAGGACATACCTGTTACTCTGGCTACTCAAGAGACTAAGGCAGGAGGTCACAAGCCCAGGGCCCTACTGGTCTGCACAGTGAGTCAAGGCCAGTTGGGTAACTTAGTGAGAACTTGTCTCAAAATAAAAAGTGTTTAAAGGGCTCAGTGGTAGAACACTTGCTTAGCATGCATGAGGTCCTCGGGTCAACCCACAGTACCCCACAAAAACACAGGAAGTCACAGGAGGCATGCTGAAAGATGTTCTCAAGCAAGGACACCAGGATGAGGCATAGCAGTGTCCTCCGTTGACCCCAGATCCCCAGAAGACCCAGTCACCTCCTGGCACAATTCAATTTAGGAAACATGAGCCAGAGCTGTGTTTCCCATACGTGCCTCCTAGTGTAGGGAATGTAGGCTGTTCCTCACTGGAGCCTCACTCTGAAGGTCATGCTCACCAAGGCACATACTGGAAACACCAGACTGCCTGTCCCCAGAGGGGAAAATGAAGCTAGTGGAAGTTGAGACAAAGTATCGCTCTTGCCTGTCGAGTTGGGAACGGTCACCAAAACAGTAACCTAAATCACTGGGTGACAGAAGTGGGAAGCCCTGCCAGTCTTCTAGAGTTTTGAAATGTTTTAGCTTCAGGAAGGTGTGTATGCTTCAGCTAAACTTGTCACAGCATTTGTAAAAATTTATCCTATGATTTAAAAAATGAACACAGAGGTTTTAGTCCAAGATATTCATTGCAACGTTTTCTAAACTACAAAATGGTATTTGCAATAGTAACTGTGTGGTGTGGTGCAGTGTCTTGACCTTGATTGGCTTCATTTTGCCTCTTAAAAGAAACCTTGGACAAAGAAGACAGAATCAGCCCATGAAGAAAGGATTTTATTAGGGACAAGAACACACACACACACACACACACACACACACACACACACACACACACACAGAGAGAGAGAGAGAGAGAGAGAGAGAGAGAGAGAGAGAGACATGCACTCACCCATGCACAGCACGGCACTCAGAAAGACCCTCTGCAAATCAGAGTAGGGGGACTTACAAAGCCCAAAATTCAGTCTTTCCTTGAGTGCTAGGACTTTAAAGGTCTTTGAGGGGTCTTCCTCCCATAATTCATGGTTGGTCAGTTTGAACAAACACAAGGAGGCTGATAGGCCCAAACTTTGGAGTAAACATGTCCTGAACCTGCCTTGAAACCATCAGATCAATCCACAGGTAGGAATCCCTACTGGCCAGAGAAAAAGCCTGTAAGTCCACCAGGCTTTCAGGT